GTCGTTGAGTAACTACAGTTGGGCCCTTTGGTCTAGGCCGTTTCAGGACAGCGGGCTGCCAGCAGCTCAGGCAGGGTGGCCCAGGACCCCCCGGCTCACCAGCCCAAGCCAAGCCCCCACGGCTGTGGGCCAGAGCCTGGCTCCGGAGGGGCGCCCCGTGGCTGGCTGAGCCAGGAGGTTTGAGTGTGGGCATTGCCGGTTCTAGGGGTTTCTGGTCGTTCCATCAGCCAGGGGGAGGCAGGGGTGGGACTGGGAGGGCTCCCGGGGGTGGCCACAGGCTGGGGAGGGTGCCCGGGAAGGAGCCCTGTGTCAGGGCAGGCTGTCTCAAGTCCGTGGCCAATGTCAGGATGACCATTCTGTGTTGGCTGGGTGGCAGCAGGGGGCCTCCATCCATGGAGGAGGAGGGGTGGGGAGGGCGGGCCTGGGCCAGGAAGGGCGGCTGGTGGGACAGCCCAGCTCAAACCCCATTCCAACCCTCTCACCCGTTTCCTCAGCCTTAAAATGGGCACAATATACCTGTCCCGTGGGGACATTGTGAGAATCAAGTGAAGATTCACCCCAAGTCCCAGGCCGGTGGATTTCGCAAACAATAACAATTTCAAAAATCAGCTTTGGTTCCGGTCACAGGGTGCCAACTTAGTATTTTGCCAAGTAAGAACACTGAAAACAAAAACAAAGGACCAGCTACTGTCTACTGTTACCGTCACTTCACAAAAGAAGTGGTATTTGGACACACAAAGGGCCACTCCTCCAGCCAATGGGACGGCTGAGCCCAAAGCTCTTGGCCTCACCCTTATTCTGTCCTTATTTTTCCTGTCACCTCTGGGACCAGGTGTGGCAGCCCCAGCACCAGCCTGGGCCCAGCGGCTCTCTCTGCAGGGCTGGTGCCCATGCCTGTCTCAGCTCAGAGCTGGAGAACTGACCACCTTTTAGAAAGGTGGTCTCTGATTGAAAGGGTCCCTCCCTCCATGTGATGAGTCCCCGACTTGTCCCGTGCCTTCACCTGGGGCCCACCCAGTTCTCTTAGCAAACAGGGTGCTTCTTGGAAGAAGAGTCTGACCATGCGGGATCCTCTCTAAGGGTTGAGGAATCGAACCTGCAAACACCTACAGGTGCCTGTCATGCTTTGGTGCACTGGGCTGTGATGAACCTCTGAAGATGGGAAACTGAGGCACAGAGCAGCGGAGGCCCTTGCCATGGGCCACCCGGCCTGTATGTGACAGAACTGGGGTCCCAGCACCATCCACTGGGTGGGGTTCCCAAGGCGGATGCTGGAAACTGAGTCTGCAGCCCTTTTCCATCAGAATCAAAGCTGTGGACAGCGATGGGGCAGTGGACCCTTGTTCCATTCCAGGGACAGCAGCCAGGGCCCCCACGGGGGCAGAGAGGACAGGGACAGATGTACTGCCACCTCGTCTCCCAGACAGGAGTTCTCCGAAGGCATTCATTCACTTGTTCACTCAGTCATTCATTCTTCCAGAAAGGAGTCAGGGTGTAGTCACCACTACAACAAACAGAGGCTCGACGTGACACTCACGTCACAGTGCTTCCGGGTGGGTGGGGACGGTGCTGTCTGTACTCTGTACGGTCATTCAGACGCCCAGGGTCGCAGGCCGGGCCCCTGGGCTCAGGCAAGTAGGTTTGTGGCAGAAAGACTTTTAGGGGTGGGCTCTGGAGGGGAGAGGAGGAAGTGGGATGGGGCAGAGTTCAGCGAAGCTGCGCTGTAATGATGTCTCAACAAGGCCTCAGCCGACCCCACAGGGAGCTCAGGGGTGGCGGGGATGGCCCTTCAGGGTGGTCCTGAGTTTGCACAAGGCGGGTGGGCCTTTCTGATCTCACACTGATCACTCACTGGGTGGGAGCTGCCCCCCGGATGAGGACGTGACCTTGGGTGTCTCTCTTCAGCCTACATGGACCCAAAGAAGGTTGGAAGCCAAGGGCAGGTCTGTTGGTCTGTCAGAGACATGAGGCCCTGCAGGGTGTCTGCGCAGCGCAGAGACCCCCCCTGCAGATGGCCCTTGCACGGCTCAGGGCCCCCTCTTCACAAGCTCTGTGAGCTGCTCCCTGAGGATCCCAGTGGGCCCCTCTCCCTAACGGGAACTCAGAAGGAACTCAGCTGCCACTGCAGCTGGTCTTTGGACTGCAGAGGACTTGCATCCTCTCGGTCCTCTGTTCTCGGCCCTCACCCTCAGTGAGCAATGCCGTCCAACTCAGTGGCCCATCACCCCTGAAACACCTGAGCCCCAGGTTGCCATGTCCTTCTCAGGCGGTGGCGACTTCCCTTTCCCATTTTACCATCAAAAGTGGGCACGGGAGTACCAACAGGTGCCCAGCTGGATCCCTGGCCGGCCACACAGAGTTCTCCCTCTCCTGATGACGAGGTCTGCCAGCCCCACAGGGTAGCGATGCCGCTTCTCGTTTGCTGGTCCCCGGGCACAAGAAGCCAAAGCGGCTGGCATCCGCTGCAGCGTATAGTCAAGGCAGCTCTCACTGTGTCCCCTGTGGGAACTCTAGCTGAGCCCTGGATTGCAGGGCTAGGAAGCACAAATCCCCCCAGTGTGTCACTGGGGGGTGGGGCGGGGGGTTGGGGGGTGGTGGTGGTGGTGGTGGCGGCAGTAAATGTGGCCATCCCTGCTTCCACCCCCTTGGTTCTTGGACTCTGAGCTCTGAGACGGTGGTGCTGACTGAGGCCCTGTGGAAGGGAGAGGCAACCCACACCCATAATATTTCTCTATTCCTGTCAAAATTCATCATTGCCTCTCCTGGGAGGAAGAAGTCTAATGTAGCTGGCTTGCTTCTCACAGGCCGGCTAGTTTCCTCCAGCAATGGCACCATGCTGAGGACTCAGCGGTGGTTATTCCGCAGTGGTATTAGCTAGCCCAGCCTTGGAAAGTGGGAGCCCAGGTCACAGGGCCCCTTCATCTCTGTCATCATGGCTGTTGCATTCCCGTGCCCACGGTGCCAGCCCTGGGATGGCCCCTGAGAGGCTGGCTGAGATCACGTGGCCAGGTCACTTCGGCTACCCATTTTTTTAGGGCTGTTCCTGTGCTTCCTGGTGAGTGTGAACACGCACCCGAAGGCCGCCACGCCGCGTGCACACCATCTGTACGCCACCACCCCTGACCTCCCGGGGCCTGGTCTTCTAATATGCCTACTTCCAGGCCCTTGGCCAGCTGCCCATAAGTCCGGCTGTACGCTAACTCTTTCTGCACAGAAGTGGTTGATTGCCTCAAGCCCTGCCCACCTGGAAGACTCCCTCTCCACCGATTTTCAAGGCCACCCCAAATGGCTGGGAGTAGCCACCATCTTTTTTCAGGTTGCACTTGTACCCGAGCCACCCACCCATGAACCAAGCTCAGCCTTTCCCCCTCCATCAGCTGATGGGCCATCCGATGAGGAGGTGTGATCCTGGGCGAGGAAGCCCGGTTCAGCTGAGTCACCTTCCAGAGGACAGCAGACAGCTGGCGGCCCATCGCAGCACCCACTCCTGCTACGGCGGCTCTACCATCCCTAGGGCCCTGGGTCTCCCCCTGGACCTTCATCGTCCAGCAGCAAGGGACAGCGGGAGCAGGGCCAGGCTGGAAGGGTGTGTGCTCGCATCGCCCCCTCAGAACTCAGCACAGGGCTGCTTTGGACTGCAGCGGGGAAGGGAAATGGTTTGACCACAGCCCAGCTGGGCCCTGCCTCCTACTCCAAGGAATGACGGTGAACAACTGAGCTTGCCCACGTTGGGCTGAGCTGCTTGGGGGTAGGGGGTGGGGCCTGGAGCCGAGGTCACGGGACTCACGGTGACCTCAGAACCAGGTCCCCCAGGACACCCTGCCAGCCTTCCCCGAGAGCCCACCCCGCGTGTGCCCTGCCTCAGGGGCGTCAGGCACATCCCTGCCCTCAGCGGGCCCCTAGCTGGTGGGGAGGACCACTCCTGACCAGAGGATTGTCACCCCAGGCTCCTGCTGGAAGCACCTGAAGGAGCAAAGCCTCTTCCTAGAAGAGGGCGGGCAGAGAGGTGCCTGAGGACAGGCGTTCTGGCTGCCCCTGAGCACGCGCTCTGCGGGCAGAAGGCAAAGGTGGGCGCCTTCTCAGGCAGAGAGAACGGCGTGTGCAAAGGTAGAGACATCATGGCGAGTATGAGGCACTGAGGCTGGAGAAGGCACCCGGTGGGGAAGGTGGGGGATATGCTGCAGGGGATCCAGACAGGACACCCTAGCCCCCCACCCGCACACTTGCCTCCCTTTATGCTGACCTGTGCCTGGTGTCCTGCAGAGTGAACTTCCCAAGACATAAACCCAGGCTGGGTCACTGCTGGCTTCAAGCCCTTCATGGCTCCCTACGGGGTCTTCAAATGAGGCCCACACTGCTTCCTGTGGCACAGACGCCGCATCCGGCTGGGCCCTGAGTCTCCCAGCCACCTTTTCAGACCTAGCTCCCCACTGCCCACGCAAGCTCTGCGGTAGCTCTGCTCACAGCTGCTCTGCTCCCACCATCCGGGATGCCCTTCCCCCATTTGTTTTGTGATGAACTCTTACTGGGCCCTCAGGAGCCACCTCCTCCAGGAAGCCTTCCCTGACCCCCCCCTCCTCTAAGCACCTCCTACACCAACTACAGCCCTTGGCTGTCCTGCAGGATGGCTGCCCTCTCTTGTTAGGATGTCTCTTGCTCTGGGAAGAGGCTCCCTGACCAAGGTCAGGGGCTGCGCTGGATTTCTCTGGGGCCCCAGCCTCCCGCCCACAGCACAGGGCTATGCCGCGCACAGCCTGAACGAGAGAGAAGCAAGGAGATGACGCCCTTAAGGTCTGAATAGACGTTTTCCCAAGCAGCTGGCAAGGCCCCCACCCAATCTGGGGGTTTTCCCGATCTGCTCCAGAAAGGCCTGGCTCTGAGCGCAGCCGGGTCATTCTGGGACACGGCAAGGCCCACTTCCCTGGCCCTGGTCACGACCGGAGCGGTCCGAAGCGCCTGCCTCCTGCAGTCCCTTTAATGATCAGGAACGGGCAGTGGGAGGTGGGGAGAGACGCACTCCCGGAGCCCTCCTGTTCCTGGCAGACTTCTGGCCACGTCCAAGGGCCTTGCTCCAGAAAATGCAGTGTCTGTGTGGCGTGGAAACGAGTCCTAGCCTGTGTTACCCAGAGCCCTGAGGACCTGCAGTGACAGCGATGGGAAGGGGGTGACTGCACATCAGAGGTGGGTCCCCGGGGAGCCTGCCTTGCCCCATTGTGTTTGGTGTTCCCGGACCCCTGTGTCAGGGTTTGGGGAGGGGGGGCTCAGTGTTGGCTGCTCGCTCCTGAGAGGCTCCTTCTGGCCTAGGAGCTGATGGGGAGGGGGACAGATGGCTGGGGCAGGGGGTGAGTGGGTCAGCTCTGGGCATGGCCAGTGGGCATCTCCTAGGATTCCCAGAGACCGAGAGGAAACTCTGCAAAAGGGGCTGTTCCTTGCTCTGCCTGACACCAGCTGGGTCTTCTGGGAGTTGTTTTTCTCTGGGTAATTGGTGAGAAGTTTGTTTCTCAAGTTTGCCCGGAACCCAAAGTGGAAGCAGGCAGAGGGCCAGTGTGAGTGGGGAATGTTCTTTCAAACACATTTTTATAGAAGTACGTTCACGTCTGCTCTTTGGACCCGCAAGTTTAGAATGTGAAGTAATTGAAACAGGGCTGGGCGGGGCCTCAACTTTGCCCCATGGCCTAAGAGGGGCCCCGGAGGGCAGAGGGGTGTCCCCTGCCCTGGAGAGTCAGGTGTCCTGGGCAAATGACCTCATGCTAATCACAAGCTCTTCTTATCTGTGAGTGAGAGCCGGCCCCTTGGGCACCATTGGCTTGGCAGGGGTCCTGGTGCTGAGAGTAGAGTAGGGGCCCCGCCTGGCCTCCCTGTGGTCAGTCAGACGTGAGCGCCCTTTGCCAAGTGCTCAGCCACTGCAGGAAGGTGTGTTTGCCCGGCTCAGCCCCTGCTCTGACCCCGAGCTCAGCTGGTTTCCGTTCTGCACAGACAGCCACCCCCCAGCCAGGTGGCCTGCCCGGAGTCCATGGAACGGGTTGGTGACTTTGCAGAGGACGGAGGGACAGGAGGCCTCCAGGACTCCTGTTTGGGTGGCGATAGGGTATTTACCTGGGGGAGAAAAGTCCCCAGGAACACGGTTTCCTGATCCTGCAGCCGCAAGACCAGCCATTGACCTGTTCCTTGCTGGGCGATACCTCAGTTTCCACATCTGTCAAATGAGGGGAGGTTGGACTGGTTGTTCTTCAGGGTTCCATTCTGCTCTCAAATTTTGTTGTGGGAGTCTCTCTGCCTCAGTTTCCCACCTGTACAAGGAAGGCAGCTTCAGGAAAGAAGGATGAGGTTTCATTTGCAGCTCCTGGTAGCTCGGAGAGAACCGAATTGAAAAATGGTCAACAGTGGTTGGCATGGCGGGTTTCCGCATCCACACAGGAGCCAAGGGCAGCCTCTGTGCCGGGCCGGCAGGCCCTGTCTGCATACCTTGAGTGTCTTTCCCCTGTAGAGTCTCTAAAAAACCGATGTCACCGGGGTGTGGGTGGCACGGCTGGCCCATGTGTAGGCTCCTGCGCTGTTTATGTTTGACCGGGGCGCTGAAGCCCGCGGTATGTCATATATTCCAGAGTTTTGCTGGTACATACTACACCCCCTGTAGGGCCTGGCCAGAGTGAGGGGGACCGGGCACAGGCATGAGAGCAGCCCACGGGATTGGGACTTACCCACCTGTTCATAAACAGCACCGGTGACCGTCCTGTTGTGTCCAGCACTTATAAGGCTGCCCGAGTACTGACTCTGCAAAGGGCCCTGTGCGGATTGTCCTTGTCCATCGTCACCCTCACCCTTGAGGTAGACGACCGTTGTCTCCATTTTGCCGAAGTGGAGATCGGACCTCATGGGTGACAGGTGAAGTGGGGGTCCACCAGGTCACTTGACTCCAGGCTCGGCACGGTGGCCCTCCTCCCACCCTGGTTTCAAAAGTTTGGCAGTCCTGGACCCCACGCCCATTTTAGAGGTGCGTGGATGGACCTATTACATAACTGTGCATTTGGTTTCTTGTGTATTAGAAAAAATGTTAAGCCATCAAATCTGTGATTTCACTGAGAATATTGCCTGGAAGGAAAGCAAGGTTTAAAAAGCAACACTATTTAGGATTCAATTTAAGAAAAAATATTAAGTAAAAAGTGGATGGCAAATAGGCATTTGGAATAAAATGGAGCCTGCATGAGCCCCCTGCGTCAGCCCCTTCTCTCCTGCACCCTGGGGTCCGCCTGGCTCCCACGTGCCCTGACACCCCCCCAGCCTCTCCCTGGAGCCCAGACCCCTATTCGCTCAGGGAAAGCTTCAAAGAACGACGCCCCCTGCATCTCCTGTCTGCTGACACCAGCCCCCTCCCCACTGCAGCGGCCACTCTCTAAGGAGGCACAGTGACCCCCTTTGGCTGTGCTGCCGCAGGACTTCCGGACCCCACACTCACGTGGCTTCCCGTCGCCTCTGCCTGCTTTCCCCCGGGCTCCCCTCTTCTACCAACCTCGTGTTCTCAGGCGCTCTTTTCTGTCGTCCTCCTAACTCTCGTCTTAGCTGACCTTGGCATTTACTGCTACCTCTAAGCTGATACTCCCCCCAGTTCCTCTTCCATGTCCTCTTCGGAAATCCAGGCATGTTTATCTCCCTGCCTCCTGGACTTTGGCCCCTGGACACCTCGCAGGCACCTCAGCCTTAACTGCCTGAGCCGAGCCCTGGACCAGCCCCCTGCGCTGGCTCTCCCACCAGCAGACTCTGTCGCCACATAAATGGTGCCCACCCTTCCCCAGTCGCTCGGGCAAGTGCTGGGGCTCAGCGTCCCCTCCACTTCACAGTTACTCTGCTGTCCCTCCTGTGGGTGTGTCCTGGATCTATCCACTTCTCTCCATCTCTCTGCCACCACCCCGTCTCAGCACCGTCTCTCTCCTACTTCAGAGGCCAAAGTGCCCACTTCATCCACTTGATGCAACCAACAGCCAGCAGGATCTCTGCAAGACACAGATGGGGTCAGATCACTGCCCTGCTCTGAGCTGTCCTCTGCACTAGCGCCCCCCCCCCTCCGGGATAAGATCAGGACTCGCCAGCATCTACAAGGCTCCCCTTGTGGGGCCTCTGACAGAGAGCGACAGAAACAGCTGTGACAACAACCCCCTGTTGTGAGATGCTTAGTCCGGGGGTGTTAATCCCTCTTGTATGTGAGGACCGTGAGGACGCCGTCCAGGCTCCCATGGCCCCTCCACGGTGTCAGCATCCCAGGCTCCTTCCGCCTTGTGGCTCTGCCTTTCTCCTGGCTGTGTGAGCTCCGCCATCCAGTGGGGGGAGAGGGGAGAGCGGGGTGGGGAGAGCACCAGCAGGAACTGGGACCGTCCTTCAGCTCAGATCCATTGACCGGGCTGCATCACATGGCCACAGCTGGCTGCCAAGGAGTCTGGGAAGTATTGCTTTCGACTTGGCCGTCGTGTGCCTCCCTCTCAGCCTCAGGGCCCATCTATGAACTGGGGACCTTTCCTGGAAGGCGGTTTTGAGTGTCCAGGGAGACAGCGAGTGCCCAGAGCATGACCAGGCCCTCGTCCAGTGTTACCTTTCTCCTCCCCGTCCCTGCTTCCATCGCCTCAGATTTGGCATCCTTGTCCTGTGACTTCTGGGTACGGCAGGGTAGGGCCAAACAAAGGTGACCCTGCAGCATCTCCCTGGTCGACTCTTCTGTGCCGAGGTTTTGATGCACGAGAGCCTTGGGGCCACAGGAGACGAGGCTGGCAGGGTAGGTGCAGTTGGTGCGTGGCAAACCGAACCTGTCAATTCCAGAAGCTTTTGGCACATTGTTGAAGCGACTAGATGACTTTGAGAAGTGTCTGCATGTTTTTCCCCAAGTGCAGTTATTTTTGCCGCTGTGAAATGTTCTGAAATCTGACAGTTTTGTTTTGAGTCTTAGCCCGATGTGGAGATGGGAAGGAACACTGCCTCCCAGTTCTGTGGCACCCGCTTTTCGGGGTTTCCTGAGGACACCCATATCCTGGCAGAGGTGGCCAAGAAGCCAGGTGACCAAGATCTCCCCGGGGCGAGCGCACAGTGGGTCTGGCCTGGGAGCCTCCAGACCCACTCAGGGCAAGAGACCCGAGGGCTGATAAAGCGCCTACTGTGTGCCAGGCCCTCACCCACCACACATCTATTAGCACCTACCATGTGCTGCAGAGCCATTGGAGGGCTCTCAGCACTGGAGTGGCAGGTCACCGTGCCATGCTTGGTGGCTGGGAGACAGGTGAGGAGGCTGCTGAAGGGATTTGACCCCAGAGGGGAGGGAGGTGACTCCAGTGCAGTCCCTGCTCTTCTGAAGCTGATGGCCTTGGAGGGAACTCTGCCAGGGTACAGCTGCAGGCGGGGGCATCTGAGCGCCCCAGGGGACTGGACGTTGTCCCAGCCTCATTGCTGCCCCCACCACCTGTCTGTCTCCTCTTTCTCTTCCCTGGGTCGCAGCTCTCCAGGGCTGGGCCAGAGATCTCTCCTCTCCCCAGCTATGTACGTCCACCCTGCTGCTGGCTCATCTCACCCAGCCCATGTCACCACCTAGCCACCATGTGCTTCATCGCCTGGCATCTCCAGGCTCCTCCTGTGTGGTTGTTATGCACAGGCCACCTCCAGCCGTCTCACACTGTCTGTCTCTCTTAATCTTTTCATGTGCCCTAGGCTCTGCTTGGGTCCCCATCTCAGGCGCTGGCCCTACTGGTCTTAGATGGGCAGCATCGTGGCTGCCTTCTGACTCAGGGCCCTGGGACTCGGAGCACATGGATCAGAAGGCAGTAGGCAACATCACTGGGAGCTGGCTGGGTGCCGGGCACGGTGCCAGGTGCTTTACCGCCATCACTTCATTGAACCCCAACAACAGCCTTGGGAGGTGGCAACGTCTGTGATCTCTGTTTTTACAGACGACAAAACTGAGACGCAGGTGAATAAATTACCCAAGGACACAGAACGAGTCCAGTACTTCCTGAAAAAGCAAATCGTCCACTTAACCCTAGATGACAGCTGGGGAGATTGAGCTATAGCAACAGAAATTTCATACATGTGTAAGAGTGTTTTGTGTTTATAAGTACTTTTCTACATTGCTGTGGAGACGGATGATGCAGCCTTTTCCTCTGAGAGGTAGACATAAGGAGTAGCTGAGAATCGCACTACAGTAT